TTCTCTTTTTCTTCTTCTTGCCTTTTCTTCTTCTTCTTTTTCTTCTTCTCTTTTCTTCTTCTTTTCTTCTTCTTTTCTTCTTCTTGTTCTTCTTCTTTTTTCGTTCTTCTTTTTCTTCTTCTTTCTTCTTTCTTTTCTTTTCTTTTTCTGCTTCTTTTTCTTTCTTCATTTCTTCCACCACAACACGACGGCCGCCGCCACCGCCGCCGCCGCCACCGACGCCGGCGGTGACTGGGTACCCCAAAGTGTCCCCTAACAAGCCTTTCACATACCCTACTCCATCCTATTCTACTAATCTCGTCGTTCAGAATGTGCAGACAACACCTAAACCTGCCTTCACCGGCTACCCTAAGGTGTCACCCAATAAACCTTTTACGTACCCAACCCCATCGTCTTCTACCTCGCTCGCGGTTCAGACGCCGACAACCCCGAAGCCCGCCTTCTCCGGCTATCCTAAAGTCACGCCTGAGAGACCTCTTACGTATCCCACACCGTCGTATTCAACCAGCCTCGCCGTTCAGACACAAAAGCCTACATTTTCTGGTTACCCAAAAGTAACTCCTGAAAAGCCGTTTACATACCCTACGCCAGCAGTTTCTACTACTAGTGCCGTACAAACAACTAGACCACCGTACACATACGTGCCCCCATCTACTACAACCCGTCCCACCACAAGACCACCTTACACATACGTTCCTCCGTCTACTACAACTCGACCCACCACCACAAGGCCGTCTTATACCTACGTACCTCCGTCCACCACCACACGTCCCACCACCACAAGACCACCATATACGTATGTGCCTCCTTCTACCACTACTCGCCCCACCACCACAAGACCGCCATACACGTACGTACCTCCGTCGACCACGACTCGTCCCACCACAAGACCCCCATATACCTATGTACCTCCATCTACAACTACTCGCCCAACCACCACAAGACCGCCTTATACTTATGTACCGCCATCTACCACCACTCGACCGACGACGACCACTACAAGAGCGCCTATAACTGGTTACCCGAGAGAAACTCCGGCAAAACCGTTCACATACCCTCCTCCGCCTTCTAGTACTAGACCGCCGTATACTTATGTGCCTCCATCCACTACTACGCGTCCTACGACAACAAGACCTCCCTATACATACATACCTCCATCTACCACGACTCGCCCCACAACCACAAGACCACCATACACTTATGTACCTCCTTCTACAACCACTCGCCCAACCACCACTAGACCGCCTTATACTTACATACCTCCGTCTACCACCACTCGTCCCACCACAACTAGACCGCCTTATACTTACGTACCTCCGTCTACAACCACTCGTCCCACCACCACAAGACCACCTTATACTTACGTACCTCCGTCTACCACTACTCGTCCCACAACAACCTCTACAAGGGCACCTGTAACTGGTTACCCGAGAGAAACTCCGGCAAAACCGTTCACATATCCTCCTCCATCTTCTAGTACTAGACCACCATACACATATGTGCCTCCATCCACTACCACGCGACCTACCACCACGAGACCTCCGTATACGTATGTACCTCCCTCTACCACCACTCGTCCCACAACTACAAGGCCGCCGTACACGTACGTGCCCCCATCCACAACCACACGACCTACTACCACAAGACCACCATACACATACGTGCCACCATCTACGACAACCCGTCCCACCACCACCAGACCGCCATATACATACGTACCTCCATCTACTACCACTAGGCCCACTACAAGACCCCCGATAACTGGTTACCCCAAAGAAACTCCAGCCAAACCATTCACGTACCCCCCTCCGCCTCCGCCTTCTAGTACAACCGTTCGCCCCACCACCACCACAACCCGCCCTGCGGTGACCGGCTACCCCAAAGAGACCCCCGCGGTGCCGTTCACGTACCCGCCGCCGCTGCCTCCTTCCCCCAGCACGCAGGCGCCGGTCACGGGCTACCCGAGGGTGACGCCGGACAATCCACTCACGTACCCGCCGCCAGCCGGCTACCCCAGGGAGGTGCCAGCTATCCCATTCAGGTTAACAGACCGCTACTTCTTGCATGTAATAACATTTAATTGGAATGGATAGATTATCCTTAGAATATTAGAATTTTGGAGATGAATAAAATTTACTCACTTAAATTATTACGTATGGCATACCTGTCGATGTGTGTCGAGAGAGAAGTGTGATCTTTTCTTTTGATCGTTAATATGATTGTAATCTCAATGTTGTTATTGTATTTCGTTTCTTACAGAAAGTGAATAACTTAAAGTGGGTGGGTAGAGGAGCCCCGGTTCAGTGGGTCTACCAATAGTTAGTCTGTTAACAATGTTGTTAAGAAATACTACATAAATTGCTACAATGTAGCAAACTAGTATTTCTGGAGTCTTTCAAAAAAGTTTTTTATAAAATCGTATTACAAATTGCCTTATTTAGTATCGTTTCATTACATCAATTGTTTACTTTTGAAGTGAGTGAATTTTATTCATTACCAGTAATATACAATGAATGTCAACACTACTATTCTAGGATTAATAGGATATCTTAGATGTACCAAGTAAAAACCTTTAATGCGGAGCTTGCCTATCGAGGCATAGGAGAGGATGAGCTCTCTCTGGGCTCCATGCGTGGCGTCTTGAAATGACGCAACAGTCAACTAATGTCATGAGTTTGACACTCTATGCGCTGCTGGAAAATAGTGTTGGAAACGTTTCAGCTGTTACCGATATCGAAGGAGTGGCGATATCGCTATGCTTCTTTTGTTTCTTATATTATTTTTCATATTTATGTACTTCAAATATTGTTTGAACATTAATTGCAAATATCGTTTATAAAAATTGTTTCTTGGTGAAGGATCCCCACTGGTTCGTGGTTTTCTGGTCAGTTTTCCAGAAATCTGTAGAGTTAACGCAGAGATGGTCCTTGTTTGCGTTTGGACAGTAATGGGGTTATTTTTAAAAAGCGCTTATTTTTCTTAAAATATACTTGAAACAATCCAGTTTTTTAGTATTTTGGAGAATGAAAGTTTATCCTAGAAAATATCATCTGATAGTTACGAGTTTGATGTGTGTATAACTGTCACGTCTATGTCGCATATTATTATATTGAATGATTTACTCCAAAGAATATGTCAGCGATGAAGGTATAAAATAGTGTGAGGGAAAGAGGGAGCCTCGAGCTGTTGACTGAGGAGATGTGTGGTTCCTTGCTCTAATGAAACAAATATAATGGACATGAAGCTGTGAAATTATGCAAGCAGTCCGATGTTACGAAGCTTTAGCAATAGATCCATGCAATTATTCGCACGCTTCGCCCTAAAGGAAACCCTTAGACCGCCATGTGTATCAAATTGATACGATTTTTCCGCCGAATTTTCCCGCCGGCGAGACCATGTGTATAATTCTGATGCACACGCTGTGGTCTTGTTGGAGGTCCGTGTATAGTCTTAATACACGTTTCCCGCTTCCCTAGCTAGTCGACCTTGGTTGACCTCTGGGTGTAACATCTTGTAGTTAAAGTTTTGAATTTTTATGACTAGATGGCAGTAATAATGCGTTTCTAATACCTCCTCCGGCGTGCTAAGTTATGCTAATTAGAGAAGCGAAAAACCGGGTGTGGCGGCCTGGCTGCACAATTTCGAGACAGTGGCAGTCCAAGGGTGAACGGAAGGCCACCTCCGCAGGTACCCGGCGCCGGAGAGCGCGCGGGCGTCGGCGTTCAAGCCGTTCTCGGCGGTGCCGCAGCGGCCGCGCGGCATCCAGCGCATCTCGTCCAACAACCCGTTCATCACCACCACGCCCGTGGCGCCGTACGCCGAGGACGAGGCGGGCGCCTTCTCGGGGCTGACGGAGTTCGTGCGCGTCATCCCGCGCAGGCAGCTCCGCCGACGCGACGTCTCCCACGTCGTCGCCCCCGCCCCCGCCCCCGCCCCGGCCTCAGGCGCGGCCGCCGCCGGCTCGCCGGCCAGCGGCTTCTCCGTGCCCAACCCCGACGACCCCGCGGTCCTCCAGGGCTACGATCACGCCACCTGCAGGGGCAGGCCTGACGGTGAGTTGAGCGTTACGTTCACAATTACAGTTGAAACATCTCAAATTGTACATTAGATTTTGCTTTTACTATAATCATATGAGTGGCTATGCGTTAGTGTTTCTCCGAAATTTCTATCATTTCTAAACAAGGGAAAAATAGTCAAGAAAAAAGTATTTTTCGCTACTAAAAGAGTTTTAACTTGTATCTCACCTGACAGCTTTTACGCAGAGTAAAACACTTAGTCTTTGGTAGCGAAATAAACTGCTTTGCACAGGATAAACCTGTTTTCCTGCAAAATGAACAATTTTGTAGACGTGTCACTTTTCTTGTGCACCGACGAGACTGCTTACACCAATATTTAAACATGTATAAAAACATTATTAATATATTTGAATTTGTTGTTCTGTTTCATATTTTTTCGTTTTCGTCATTTTTACGTTAATAGTGACAAATTTGGCAAAATTAATGAAATTATGAAAAATGCGTTGTCACCATAACAACTACCTATTACTTCACTCACACAACCTATTAGGCAATGATTTTAGTTGGTAATGAGTTAATTATTTTGTGACATATGGCAATATTTTTAAATTAAGTGAGAACACTATCGAAGAATATGTTGTAAAACAAAACATGTTGATATAATTAACTACGTGAATACAATTTCTTGTACTAGTGAAATATCAAATAACGCTTCACAAATAGACAATTGTTTAAACCAGTAATACTTTTAAAATGTTAATACATATCACTCAATTTTTCATTTTATGATATTCATTGTAGTAAACTGTGTAGTTCCATTTAAAACATTAAAGCTTATTCAATTTCTTCAAAAATAAAATTTTTAGAACGACAGATCTCCTGCAAATAACTTGCCCTAGATTCAATCTTGGATGAAAAGTGTAGAAGCTTTAGGAACTAGTCAATAGTTGATGGGATTCCCCCAACTATACGTGTGTCTCAGCATGTAAACGTGATAGACATCTAGAAAATGTGAGTCGAAGATGATAACTTTTTGTCATTGAACAATTTCAAACAAAAATGTTACGCTTGTAACATTTGCCGTGATTGTTAGGCAACTCATCACGTGCTGGTGTTCGGCAGGTAAATGAAATATCTTTCCTACAAACATAACCTGCCAAACAGCAGTGCATAATGAGTTGCCTACTAATGAGGGGCAACGAGCAACTTAAACTCGTTATGTGAAATTTCATTCCGCATGTTCATTGGCAGAAAGTTATCATCTTCGATCCCCTACATGTTCTAAGTTCGTAACGTGTTTTCTGAGACATTGTGTTTAAATATATTACTAATAACTGTTATATAATATCAGTTCTGTTCTCATTAGTACGTGTTAATCCGATTACTCAATACTCAATGTTGTCCATCCATTTGGTCTCTGTGATCTCACGCCTGTGGCTGCGTAGGGCGCTACACCGACCCGCGGCGCGGCTGCCGGGCCATCCTCGTCTGCTCCGGAGGCAAACTGGAGGAGGCGTACCAGTGCCCCGACGGCTCGCAGTTCAATGAGGCGAAGGGCACCTGCGAGTGGAACAACCGCTACCAGTGCGGCAGCCCGCAATCGCCGCTCCCGCCTGCCCCC